ATTAATTTTGGTTTTCTTCTTTCTTCTTGATGAGGAGAGACCCGTTGTTGCATCTAGATGGCAGCTTCCTAGCTTTTAAGGTCCCAGTCGCTACTCGCCAGACATCATTTTTATACACTTTTCACACTCATGTGAGATTTCATGTGAGAATCTGTCACACTCTCATACCTGGACATAAATGCTGAGAAATGTAGACACTGGTTAGAGAGTGCTGTTTTGGACTTGATTTATATCATATAAGGGGTAGCTTGGGTGTTGATAGGACCACTGCTGTCACAGCCAAATGTTTGTCTGATGGGAAGACTCCTAATGTCAGTTCTTTCAAAGTAAGCACTCCATCCCCTTTCCAGCAACATCTGTTATCTAGCTGGTTGTTAAATATTTTCAGTGTTTTGGACAGATTAAATTATTGTAAAATTTTCCTAATATATCAGTAAAGCTCTAATTACTACACTTTGATATCCTGGGCTCCTTGTGTTTTGACATTTTCTAATGATGAGGGCCCATTGCTATACTTAGTACCCCATTCTCAGCATATGTTATTGTTCAGAGAGCTTTACAGTTTGCCTCACTGATTTAGGATATTATATTTCTATTAACACAATAGAAGGTTTCATTAGTTTTTATAGAGGGCTGTCAAAAATGAGTTCATCTTGAGTGTGCAATCTACACATCATTTCATGTGAATTATGCCCCACATATTGTCCTTATTAAATTCACATGAGTTTTTACCAATTCTTTATTGTAGTATTTAGCATCTTAACCTCCTGATCCCACTGGCTCTGCTGCTTTCCTACCCTTAGAGGAGGCTATAAGTAAGTGGGCTCTAAAAAATGGCTGAAGCTTCATATCATCAACTTTCTATGTTCAGTTCCTGCCCTTTTTTCCATCCCAATGTTTTCTACTTGAATTTCAGTTTTAATTCAGAATGAGTGCATGATTTACTTTTGCGTTTGTTTTTAACTTTACTTTTATTTTTTATATTTTTAAAAAGTGAAATTTGTTTTATTTTGTAACTTAATCGATGTTCCATGTTTATTACAACATAAATACATATACCAAAAGGGAGGGGGGACTCTCTGCCATTGAGTCGATTCTGACTAATAGCAACCCCCATTGGGTTTCTGCAAAAACTACAAGGAGGCCACATGTTCTGACCTCCTCTAATCTCACGAGAGGAAGACAGGATTACCAGCAGTAAACCAAGGCCTATTACTGCAAGGCCAGACATGCTGCCTCCCTCCAGCCCTTTCACCAACCGTTCCTCCCAAGGCACCCACCACCTCTCTCCTGGGTTCGATAATTCACTGCAGTGGCCACACAGAACTCACAGATTATGGGGTATATTAGGGAAGCACCAGGCTA